AATTTTAAGCATAAGGAAAGACATCGTCTAACATGGCGACCCCCTACACCAAACCAACGATGGACTTAAATAGACCATATTGCCATCAGTCATCGTTGGAGAGGGTCGGTAGAAGATTGTCGCTCATTCTGGAGTACCTGCTTGGACTCCGACCATGCTCTAATACGGGCCTACATCTGCTTGCGCCTCACTGGACACAAAAAAGTCACAGTAAAAAGACCCATTAGAACTAAGTTGAGTAACGAGAAAACCAAAAGTAAGTTCCAGGAACAACTGAGGTCACACTTAGGTAGTTCTGAAAAGGAGGCTGACCCAGATGTTGCTTGGAAAGATATACAAACAGCTGTGGAAACCAATGAAATCTATTAGTGACTTAAACCACAGAGTTACAAAGAGCCAGTGGATTTCTTCAAAGTCTATCACACTGATGGATTCTCGCAAACTCGTCCCATCAGGTTCCGAACATGATTAAGAGCGACAAAAAATCAGATCTAGGTTAAGAAAAAGTCTAAGGAACGACCGTGAGCAGTGGTGGGCAACGAAAGCAAAAGCGATGGAAAAGGCGGCAACTGTAGGGAACACAAGACAATTTTACAGACTAATAAAAGAAACTGGAATTAATAAGTCAAGTGTAAGTGAGATTATATCGCAAAAACACGATACTCTCATCTATTCCCAGTCCAGACGTTTAGAACGATGGGTGGAACACTTTAGGGAACAGTTCAGCTGGCCTTCAGATACTCTACAACTACCCTCTATTCCCAGACAGCGTGAATGGAACATTGAAGTAGGTCCCCCAACTCTTGCTGAAGTTCAAAAGGCTATAGATAATCTGAAACGAGGAAGGGCAGCTGGTCCAGATGGACTGGCTCTAGAAGTCTTTAAGGATGGTGGTCCAATTTTAGCGATTAGGTTGACTAATATTTTAGCTAAGATCTGGGAGTTAGACGTTATTCCATCTGACTGGTCACAATCACTTATCGTCCCAATATATAAGAAAGGATCAAAATCATCCTGTGACAACCACAGAGGGATTAGTTTAACTAATATAATATCTAAAATACTAGCCTCAATAATAATCAGACGCCTAACTAAGACTCGTGAACTGCAAACACGAGAAAACCAAGCTGGCTTCAGACCTGGTCGTGGCTGCATCGACCACATATTCACCATTCGTCAGGTTCTAGAACACAGGCATACTTATCGGCGTCCGACGATGGTGGTCTTTCTTGACTTAAAAGCAGCATTTGACTCGGTAGACCGCGAGATTCTGTGGCAGTGTCTGTCTTTGAAAGGCGTACCCCAGAAGTACATAAACCTTGTAAAGGCTCATTACTCGAACACTACTAGTCGAGTCAGAGTTTATGGTGAACTGTCATCTACTTTTGCAACCTCAAGTGGTGTCCGTCAAGGCTGTTCACTTTCTCCATTTCTGTTTAACTTCATCATAGACCTATTGATGGAAATAACATTCTCGTCGACTGAATTCTCGAGTATTGACCTCCTTCCAGGAGGTCCACTTATCGACTTAGAATACGCAGATGATATAGTCCTGTTTGGTGAAGACGCTGATAAAATGCAGTATTTTGGTAGCACTAAGCAACAATGCCAGAATGTTTGGAATGCGCTTCTCTCCCTCTAAATGCAAGTTGTTGCTTCAGGACTGGCCTGCGTCAACACCTGAACTAAGGATAGGGAGTTAAGTGGTCGAATGCGTCGACAACTTCACTTATCTTGGAAGTTTGATCAGCACTAACGGGCTGGTATCGGACGAAATCTCAACACGGATTCGAAAAGCTCGTTTGGCTTTTGCCAACTTACGTCACCTGTGGCGAAGGCGAGATATCCGTCTATCAATAACAGGACGAGTGTACTGCGCGGCAGTCCGTTCTGTTTTAATTTACGGCAGCGAAACATGGCCTTTAAGAGTAGAAGACACTCGTAAGCTATTAGTATTTGACCACAGATGCCTTAGAAATATTGCTGGCGCCTGTTGGGATCACCGGGTAAGTAATAGTGAGGTTAGACTCAGGGTATTAGGTAATGATGGTAAATCAGTTGATGAGGTTGTTAATCTTCATCGACTAAGATGGTTGGGCCATGTGTTACGTATGCCTGAACACCGATTACCACGACGTGCAATGCTAACGGGTGTTAGAGATGGTTGGAAGAGAATTAGGGGCGGCCAAACCAAAACGTGACATCAGTGCTTGAGGACACTAACCTCTGAGCAATGTTGGTAGATGCAGACTACTTGGTTGGGGTCCGCATGACTTTCGTAACCGATGGTTGGAGACTCTTGGTGACATGGCTCAAAATCGATCACAATGGCGTCGGTGCATACACTCCCTGTCTTCCCTTAAACTAAGAGATTAAAATCGCTTCATATCCTTCTCTGTACGAACTAATTCTATATTCCGGTACTGTATCCTTATATGCAATCTTTCTCCTATATATTACCACCTTTAACCTAACCACTCCTATGAATCTGGTGTTCATCTTGCTGTGCTAATCAGGTATGGCAACCTGAACCGATGCATATATGTGCCTGGTCCTACGTTGTAGCTGACTGACTGACGGACGAAACCGAAATAAGTGTTACAGGCGAATTCCTGAGGTGTTTAAGAGGTTGTAGGTCAATAAAAGCTTTAAATGAAGTTAGGTCTTTCCAGTACACCAATGAGGCAGGTGACCTACTAGGTAGAATGACTAAGTGATTCCATTACGAACATGTATATCACCCATTGTACTAGATATCAAGCCCATTGTTTTATCACTCACACACTGAACCATCTGAGATCAAAAGCACGTTATCAGCCGGACTAACATGTATATTCAGACAAACACAGAGGATTTGAGAATATATGACGAAGTACACCTGAAGCTTTCCTCACAGTTTTCAAATTTCAACGCTCTAGACAGAAGAAATTCCATATATTATTGAACCAGTCCATGTACTTTCATAACATTTAATGAAGCACTTAAGTCTGCTGCAGGATTGAAAATGTTTGTATTATGTACATTATGTTTTATTCCTTCAAAAACTCACCGAGTTGATTCCTATCATGAATTCTAAAGCTTTATTCGAAAGTGTTTTTTAGTCCATATCCATGTCGTTTCAGAATACAACCAAACCATAAAGGTCCCCTATTTATTACTATTTATTTGAACACACCAAGGTACAAGGGGGCACCAGATACATATGCGCCACACAGATCTCATTTGATATATGTGAGGGCTGTGATACTATCCGGGTGCCCAAACCGAAGCAGGTGGTTTTCTTAGGGGGCCACACCCGGAGCCTTCAACCTGAAGGTCTGATCCACAAGGCAGTAGAACAACGTCAGGAGATACAGTCCCACGGTGACCGGTGACCAAAGATTGGTTCATACGCCATTTGTTCCTCCATGATACTGGAGCCTATGTACACCATTGGTTTAGAATGAGTGCTTTCCAACTCCTCTATGTGGACTCTCTGTGTTCACCAACCCAGTTGAAGTGCCGGACATTAGCTTTTCGTCCTCTCAATTTGATAAACAACACCCTGGTGAGAGATGGCAGTGAGTAGGACTTCCCTGGCAATGGACGTATGCGCGTGGCCATGTGAGCGTTTGGAGAGGGAGAGCTGACTCTCCCCACTCTCGACCGTACCAGGGCATTTGGGAGAACAAGGGTCCCCTGACCAAGTGCGATCCTCATTTTACAGACATGTGCTTAACTTTCTGATGAAACTCCTTGGTTCTTAAAAATTCTTCTTTGTAGATGCTAGTGAGTTTGGCGTGGGTAAAATCCTCAAAGAAATCGTCATTCTTAACACTTCATGCATTAGAGAGGTCTTTTTGGTGTACTTTTAAAGGTAATTATTTGAAACAAGCCAGAACACCATACATAGTGACTAATTTTTTAGGAGATACATGAAATAAGACGGGTTGTCCTATAAGACAGTCGAATTCTTACTACAGTCAAGATCTATGTCGTCCTTTTTTTATTCCATTAGGTCTGCATGTGGATTTAAAATTTAGTTACTTTTTTGGTAACTGGTGAAGAGCAATATTAATAAATTAACGACAACGATGTCAGTGCTATGACTGTCGTCCTGAAGATCCCTGGGTTTCGGTTTTTTGTTGTCACCTCGTGAACTATTCTCGACTAGCATTGAGTTCAGAGGTGTTTTTACCACTCCCAAACTTTATACTGGCTGGCTGGAATCAACTTACTGACCACACTTAGGTCTTAAAGAATTTACGAAGCAATATACATTCACGCTACAAGAAATTTAAGTCCTCGTTAATAAAGTTTATCATCCTCCTTAGAAAGCTATAACATTATCTCAAACACAGTTTAGGTCGTGGTTTCGGGGAATCGGTAATCTTCAATAGTCGTTGCTGTTAGGAAAAGAGGCGAAGTGAAAGATCAGTGGTTTTTAAAAAAAGGAAAAGAAGGGAAACAGAAAAAGTTTGTTGGGGAACGAGACTAGCTCCTTCTTTTGGGTGTGAAAAACCTCAAGCATACTGTGTTTAAAATTTGATGAAATTTCAAATGTGTGAAATAGTATTAGTTGTGGGATTATAGCCATAATTCAGTTTGTCAGATAAATAACTACTATGAATTTAAGCACTTACTATGAAAAGTTTTAATATTCCAAGTATGAGTTAGCGATTTTGATTTGTAATAATTAAAAATAATCACATGTCTAAAATAACATCTAGCTAAACTTTCTTGCTTTTAAACCGCTGAAACTTGGAATCTTCATAAACTCAGCAATAGCAATACAACTATATTATAATTAAGTGTAAACCGTTATTTAGCATAATATCATTGTGCAAACTCCATAGTATTGTTTAGAAAGTCCTCACGAAAATGTTGCATGTTATGATAGGATGAAACTGTTTGGTGAAAATCTATTCATCATTAGACGCTTTTGTATTCATTTTGAAGTTTACCAATTGTTCAGTACAAAAAGTAGACTTTATTTTTTTTATTTATTACATTCTTGTTAGTTGTTTGTTGAGTGCTTTCCACTCCATCGGTTGATAGCCTGAAATACACATATCTTCGTAGATCCAAAATACGTGCGAACGCTTCAAATTTAACAGATACATTTTCCTGCAAAGTACAAAATATTATGCCATACTTGTTTGATCGATCATATGCTTATGATAATTATTCTTTTCCAAATTAAAGCATACCTTCTTATTGAATAACCCAATGAATCCTAATTATCCTAACGGTCCCATAGGATATGGATGGGGATTTGATCAAAATGCTACTACTACTTCACGGTGGGAACAACCGCAAATTGGATTCTGCTTCGGTTCACCAAATCCTCAAATCCCTGAAGTTTGTCCACCTCCCATTCAAAACCCCGGAGTTATTGGCTTCGCTTATGATCAAGCAATGGCAAATCCACCTTTAGTGTCCCCGGTATCTCCCGATCGTTCACAATCCAACTCATCTACAGATAGAGCCTTTAATGTTACATCGCCGAGACTAAATGTTCCCCCATCCATCGAACCCATGCGACCTAAATCATACATTAATTATTCAGATGAATCGGTTGCACCATCCGCTCCTCCTGAATCCATTTCTCCTCATAGTGAATCAGTGAAATTTATTACAATCACTAGGAAGGATTCAAAAAAATCCGGTAGGTTGTTTCTCCGATCAATACTAATTTCCCTCGAATGAGAACAAAGTGTAGCTTAATACTGCGCACATCTATTTATTTGTTTGTTTATTTTAACATAGATATTGGTACAAGGAGGCAACAAATACATATGCGCTACACAAACCTCATTTGATATATGTGAGGGCTGTGATACTACCCGGGTGCCCAAACCGAAGTAGATGGTCTTCTTAGGGGGCCACACCCGGAGCCTTCAACCTGAAGGTCTGATCCAGAAGGCAGTGGAGCATCGTAAGGATATGAAGTCTTATGGTGGCCGGTGATCAACGACTGATTTATACGCCATTTGTTCCCGCAGGATACTGGAGCCCATGTACACCATCGGTTTGTAATGAGTGCTTTCCAACTTCCCTATGTGGACTCTCCGTGTCCACCGACCCGGTTAAAGTGCCGGACATTTGGTTTTCATCCTCTCGATTTCGTAAACAACACCCGTGGTGAGAGAAGGCAGTGAGTAGGACCTCCCCGGTAGTGGACGTATGCGCGTGGCCATGTAAGAGCATTTGGAGAGGGAGAGCTGACTCTCTTCACTCTCGGCCGTACCAGGGCATTTGGGGGCACTGCGCATATAAACTTATGCTTGGTAAATAAAACTATTCAGAAACCCTCTACATGTCGGAAGTTTTGTGAATGCTGTAGCACTTCGAAGTGAAATGATTTGACCAACTAAAAATACATTTTTACAACCTAAAATTACCATACATATCGAAGGAGGACAGTTTCAATCGGATAAATTGTTTGTTAAACATATGTAAGGTTGTTACGTGATGCAATATGGTATGCTTATGAAGATAGACTGGGAGAAATTTTGTTTAGACAGTTTAGATATATCTAATATTGTGTGATTGAATGGGCAAAAATGTCGATTTTCATATGATTAAGATCCGAATCAGCTAGTACATTTAACACTGTCATAACAACTCATTCGTTAAATAGTTGAGTGTGTTGAACTGTCATACGAGTAGTCGCGATTTATTCCTGAGGGATTCGATTGACATGAGTTGAAAGTAGGGAATCGCTTTCATACGGCTGCATTTTTTCCCGCGGAAGTCTTACTTCCTGCTTCAATATGCCCTGAATCTTTACACAAAATTGACTTGGACTAAGTGGAAACCTGTTTTTTAAGCTAGACTAATGGACAAAAAAGATTTACCTAAGGCAGTTAAGAAACTCTAGTTAGAAAATAATGATGCACATCTGTACAAAGCTATTCCAATCATCGTTTACCATAGGATTGCATCTTTTAGTGTTGCTTCTAGGTTGAACATCAACTCTAGGATGCAGGTATATGCAACTGAAGAGTCTCAAATAGAACGGAACACGAGTCCTGAATTCCACTGCTAACCACCATCCATCTCTGCTTTTAATTCAAATCTGTCTAAGAATCTGTAAATGGTAGTAATAATTTATTTCTATTCTTCATGTTTTAATAATTTGCTAATAGGCATTTTGATCATATCCATAGATAGTTTATTCTTTGTTTATTTCATAAAAAAGAATTATAGAAACATGTTATTATGTATCATAAAACATTGTTATCTTCAATTATCGCTTATTTGTTTACCTTTCACTAATTACTCTTCTTATTTCTATAGACACAACATCTAAAACTATAACCAATACTAATGATCAACACAATCAACGACGTGATAGTTATCAAGATTCATTAAAAGATATGGCTGCTCTTATGACTGATGTTGAATTAACCGATGATATGATCAATGGTATGCGTAAACGTTTTGATTTACATAATTGATTATAATGAAATCTTTTTTTTTTTCTTCTCTTTTTGGATCCCATATTGATTTGTTTTTAATGTTATTCTATATTTCTTATCAAATAACCTGAAAAACAAACAAACAAACAAAATACTCCTATTAAAACAGTGTAGATTATTTTTTGTTGTTGATAGAAAAGTCATCAGTTCTTTTTTGTTTCATTCTTGTTTTACTTATACTGTCACATTAATTATTGTCGTTTAATCCACATGATAAAGTTGCTTTCTTCCCTCCACTCCCCACCCCCCACCTATGGAGTAACTTTATTTATTTTGTTACATTGTTTACTGTGATTATTGATTGTTTATCATAATTTACTAACAGTGAAATCAATTATCATGTATTTGTTGTTGTTGTTGTTGCCTGTAAAATAAAATAGACTGGCATTTCAGTTTGATTTCCAACTTTCGTCTGTCTTATCTGTTTCTATGTCTTAGATTTTTCTAGAAGGGTGTGGAGGCCTATATAGATCATTGATCTGTTTTCGATTCAAGTTTGTTTGGTTTGTTTGTTTGGTTCAGAAAGTGTATAAACATGATTGTTATTATTCATTTTTTTAACATAGTTTGCATTAGATTATAGTGTATAAACTTTCCACCATTAACAAATTACTGGTGTTTAGCTGACGTAAGGTTTTAACTAGATATGCCATCAAATTTAGGCTTATTTACTTGTTGTTACTACCTTGACGTGGTGGTTGGGCTTGCCTATTGTGATGAAGCAGTCGAGCTATACTGGCTAGAACAATCGTTCCTCAAGGTCCTACCATGCCAGACAGGTCGATTGAACAGCGGTAAGACTAAAAGCAGCAAACTCAAGATCTGGGGAATGAAGTTGTGCCGCTAACTGTACAAAGGTGTGGCGGTAGTAAGGTGTTTCCTTCAGATAACTAGCATAACAGCGATACTGCCTTCCCACAAGGAGGGGTGGGTTAGAAAAGGTCGACCTTAAAGTTAGGAGCGGCCAAACCAAAACGTGGTATCAGTGCTTGAAGTCACTAACTTGGTAGATCAAGACTACTTGGTTGGGGTCCGCGTGACTATCGTAACCAATGGTTGGAGACTCTTGGTGACAGCTCAGAATCGATCACAATGGCGTAGGTGTATACACTCTTTGTCTTCCCTTAAACTATGAGATTAAAATTGCTTCATATCTTTCTTCCTATACTATATCCTTATATGCAATCTTTCTTTTATATATTACCACCACTGAATTAACTACTTGTATGAATTTGGTGTTCATCTTGCTGTGCTAATGAGGTATGGCAACCTGAACCGATGCATATATGTGCCTGGTCCTATGTTGTAGCTGATTGATTGTAAGTATTAATTAGTTTACTGAAATTCGATTGTTCCACAAGCCTAAAGTTTTGATTGAAGGTAAAAGAGAGAGAGAGAGAGTTCGACAGTAGCAGCAGTGAAGTTTCACACTGAAACATATTATGAATAAAACAAGAACAAAGATTCGAGCGAAATACCATGAATTCATGTTATTTCATTCGCTTTTCATCAACTACTTACAACACAATGTAACATTAAAAAAATGATGAACATATGATGAATTGAAATTATTTACATGAAAGAGTTTAGTTAGGAGTTACTAATTATAGACACATCAGTAGTATAGTATAGTAAGGATGTCAATAAATTTAATAGACTAAATAACACACAAATATATGTCTTATATAAGAGAACATTCTACAATATTTATAGTAATAAAAGATCAAATACTTAGAAACAAGTTGGTTACTCAATGACAATAATTAAAAATGAAATGAGTAAAGGTCAGTTAATTAAAATTAAATTATCAATCTAGAAAAGAGTCAAAAATTGTAATACTGTAATCGACTGAAAAAGAGTTAAACATAATCCTATGATCACTTATAGTCCTAAAATAACAATGAGAAGATACAAGTAAAATAATACCAAGTGAGTTTAAAAATTTCACCCCATTACACAAGCAAGTGGTTATTGGGACTCAGCAGCTAAGTGGATAACACGATGGCGTTGAAAGCGAACAGCACTGGGTTCGAGTCCCAGAGTGAACATGAAATGTGGGATACAGGTACATCCAGCTGATGTGTCTCAAATAGGACGAAACGCGCGTCCTGCATTTCACTACTAGCCGCTATCCATCTTCGCCCATAAAGCCTGTAACTTCAGACAACATCTAGCAATTCGCACAGGATGCACATATGCCAACAACAGACTGATCAATTTCAGTCCTAAATAATAATGGGAAGATACAAGTGAATGTATTCCTATGATGCAACGAAGAAATGTTTATGTTATCAACACTGATTAACTAATGTCACCTTTTAAACCTAAATGAAGTTTCTGATGTTTCATGTCAATGACTTCAGGAGAGTGAGGTTTCACTGTTTCCTAATTACCTCAATACATTTATGGGTATCGACTTATATCTAAGAGGTGTCTAGAGATTAGATTATTTTAAGGACTACTTTCACTTAATCGAATGGTTTTGGGAACTTGCTCAAATATATCAATTTTGTTTTGTGTAGGAGATTGTAATTCAATCTAGTTGTCTCACGTTTTTTCTGTGTTTAACTATACATTACTTTGCTCTAAATACTCAGTACTATCATTTGTAATATTATCCTTTTTGAATTGATCTTAATAAAAGCATCTAAGTTGTTTTTTTTATCATTTAAGCCCACAAATACCTTGGTATGACAGAGTGGGGGAGGTTAACTCTCCCTCTCCAAATACTTTCAAGTGGCCACGTGTATACGACCACTGCTACACAAGTCCTAATCACTACATTCTCGCGATATTACTGTTGTTTACGAAATTGAGAGAACGGAAAGAGAATGTCCAGCACTTCAACCGCGTTGGTGGACACGGAGAGTTAACATAGGGTAGTTCGAAAACCCTCATTACAAACCAATGGTGTACATGGGCTCCAGTATCCTGAAGGAAGAAATGGCGTATGAAAAAAATTATTGATCACCGGCTACCATGGAACTGCATCTCCTGACGTTGTTCCACTGCCTTGTGGATCAGACATTTGGGTCGAGGGGTCCGGGTATGGCCCCCTAAGGAAACCACCTACGTCAGTTTGGGTACCCGTGCATTATCCTAGCCCTCACACAAGTCGAATGATTTATATGGTGCATATCTATTTGTTGCCTCTTTGTACCAATGTTTGTGTCAAGTGTTAAGGTCAATATAAAATTAATTTGTCCCTTAATTAACTATCCATCTATAAGAGGCAACATTTGTAATTAAATTTTTTATTGTCCTTATGACATGAACACAATGCTATGGTATACGTTGGTTAAGAATTCCTATGACTATTTAAAATACACTTGTAGTGTCGGTTACTATGTCAAACCCATATATCTCCTTATTCTAAACAATCCAATTTATCCATTCTTCTTGAGTCACGTTTTGACCTTGTTAATTATTCACTTATCAACCCTGACTATTTTTATATGAGCGTATATGTGTATACCCTTCGTATCCTACTCATCACATGTCTGTAGCTTAATTTTATGTGACTATAAATATTAATTAACGTTTGATTAAATGAAATTGGCTCAAACGCCTTTTCTACTGCGCGTCATCTCTCTTCATTCTATTGTCTTCGCTTCATTCGCTCCGTCTCCCTGATTGTCTGTTCAGATCATTGAAACTTCATTCTTGTATTGGGTTCATTTAATTCCGTTATTCACTAATGTGAATTCAGTCGATAATTATATACGAGAATTGGTGACATCCATACTTCGATAACAATCATATATACATTCTAACTGGAGTCACATATCAGGCTACTAAACACTTATTTTTACATCTTTAAATAAACATATTTAACATAAAGCTAAATTATTTGAGACAATTCATCCGATTCAAGGAGACAAATACCCTAGTACAGCTGATAGTGGGGAAAGTTAGCTCTCCATTTCGAAATGCTCTCACATGGCTTCATGCATACAATTATTCCTAGGGAAGTCGTATTCACTGTCTTCTCGCGGCAGGTGGGGGGAGTTTTACGAAATTCAGAAGACCACCTGCTTTGGTTTTAGCATCCGAGCAATATCCTAACCGTTACATAAATCGAATGATTTATATGACGTATATCTGTTTGGTGCCTCCTTGTACTAATGTTTAATGTGTTTACATAAATAAATGTACTTTGAAAAAATACTGTTATTATACTACTGAAAAAAAACCCGATTAATTATCAATGGTAGTTTGGATTATAAAAATAAAATCTTATTCATGATCAACGTTCAAAGAAAATTCCTAGAATAGTGTATATCTGAAGGAACAAGTAAATTAAACAGAACATTGAACAACTGAAATGAACTCAAACTATCAAATATGGCATTGTTATAACTTGTGACGTAATGATACCACCAATTATAGGACAGTGAATTATTTACCGGACCGATGACGCATAAAACCTGTACGAGCAGTCTACAGTCCTTATCAGTTCTCCTTTCTGTTTAGCCCTGGTCGTTGAGTTCAGAACACCAATCTCAGCCTCTGCAATATAAATCATTTATTTCAAATATATTGGGTTTATATACCAACCACACAGACTACAATCGCACCATAATTTAGAAAATAACATTTGTACAAGATCTAGCCAAATGCGACTGTGAATATGGGTGACTGTGATTGACAGACTGGGCATAATTCAACAACAGTAAATCGTATAATAATAGTTTCTAGGTCGACGTAAAGCTTGTAATAGGAGGAGTATAGATATGTATAATCTATCTACTGAATAGTTATACATTAAAAATATATGTCTAGTTTTATTCCATAAATGGATCTCAACAGTTATCATTCATAATTCTCTCCGGGATATAACACTTTCCCTATTGTTTGAAGAGTCGGAATTTATATCGAGACTTTAAATTTTCCGACTTTATCCTCCTCTCCCCCCAGCACGATATAATGTTTGATCCTCCTATCCTTTAACAACGAATGGGATTCAGTCTTTTCAAGCTTTAAGTACCACCCATGAATATGTATTATCGAACATTTTAAAAAAATGACAAAACAACAAACCAAATATACTGAATCTGCCTGAATGACATAATCCAAGCAAATGAAAATGTCTTGATCAAGCTTTACTAAGGAATAGAATTAAACTATAGATGATTTCAAAATGAAAAGAAAAAAGCTTTATAAGTTTTTCATCTCCTTTCCTGACATATCACTGAAGATATTGGTTGCTAATGCTTTAAGAATAATGTAGAAAGAAAGAATGATTTGTTGGTTTATGTTTTCTTATAATTATGAAGAGCACCACCAAAGTGATTTTGAACGTGATCAACAATACAGAAAAAGTCTCTGTGAGATGACGGAGAAGATTTGAAGCTACAAATAGATATGAGCCACATTAATCATTCGACTTGTGTGAGGGCTGGGATACTGACCGGCAGCCCAGACTGAAGTAACTGGTTTTCTTAGGAGGCCACACCCGGAGTCTTCGACACAAATGTCTGATCCACAAGGCAGTGGAACAACGTCAGGAGATGCAGTTCCATGGTAGCCGGTGACCAATAATTGGTTCATACGCCATTCGT